ATATATATATATATAATTATTATATATAATATATATATAATATATACATATATAATAATATATATATAATAATATATATATATACATATATAATATATATATATATAATAATATATATAATATATATATAATATATATATATATATATATATATAAATATATAATAATATATATATATATATATATAATATATATATATATATACATATAATATAATATATAATATATATATGTATATACAATATATATATATATATATGTATATATATTATATATATTATATATATATATATATATATATATATAAATATGCATTTTACACACACACAGAGTGTTAATGAACAGTGAAAGTATGCTAAATTAGAATTTACAAGGAAAGATGTAATTATTTAACTGAAATAAATCTTTTTCTTTTTATTAAGAATAAGCCCTCATAAAAGAGGTAATAATGTTTATTAATTTATTAATAAATAATTAGTTAATATAATTTATTTAAATAATATATGCACTAAATGTAGAATTTAGTGCATTTTATAATGGAAGAAAGTTGAGCTGAATTAATTTCAAGTTATCATTGGTGTGGCCCAATGACACATTTCAGTTTTCTCATGTGGCCCCTTGTATAAATTAATGGCCCACCCTGCCCTACGATTTTGGGGGCACGTGAGGAATCAGGGGTTATGGGGGGGGGGGGGGGCACACACACGCCCCACTCACAAGCTTTGATTTGACAACAGTAAAGAAAATTCATTTTCCATAAAGATGAGCCAAAATTCCCACAAAATTACTCTTAAGATTATTTGAAGATAATTCAAAAAGTAAAAGAAAGTGCAAAAATAAAAAACTCAAGCCAAGATTCGGCCTCAAAAGATTCAACACTGCGTCTAAGCAAATAAACTAATATAAAGATAGCCGTACGAACCTAAACCTTCCTAACCCAGGGGCTACACCTCCGGCCCCCCCTACGACGGCCGTGCTTCCTACCAATTGCCGTGCTTCCTAGCCCACTGCCGTGCTCCCTAGCCCAGCCGCCGGCTTCCCTTCCCACCCACCGTGCTTCCCTAGCCCACCGCCGTGCTTCCCTAGCCCACCGCCGTGCTTCCCTAGCCCACCGCCGTGCTTCCCTAACTAGTGAATTCATGGTCCTGCACTAATTCAGTGTTTCCATTTTATCCTCACATTGTTTCATTTATAAATCATACCACTGACAAACCATTTCACCGGTTCCTTACACTCACTGTGGCAGTTTGAACACCGCACGTAACCACGGTGACATGACTTCTGCCCCAGTGGCCAATGACGTATCACTGTGCCATACACTGACATCACACCAAATTTTGAAGAGCGTAAAATGAGAATAATTACAGAAATTAGTTAAATGAATTAACATAATGGTACTTTATATCATTTGGAGAGTAAGTATCAAAAATCAATGTGAAATTACGCATAAATGTCTTTCAAACGATGGATAGTAGCACACACACTACTTCCTTGAGCGCCATCTGAATTACATGGTTTGTTTACATTGACTTAGCCGATAAGCAAAGAAGGGGGCTTAGTCTGTGAGCTACAAAATATTGGCATCTTTATTTTAATACTATGAGGTAATTATGTCTTTTCGCACTTTAAATTTGATTTCCCAAATTATTTTGCATGTTGTTCTTCTACTTTAGTAGCATTTCATGTTTGTTTATTAAAATTCTATATCCTCCAGATTTACCAGCTATTATTGTCACTAACAGGCCAGTATAGCATACTGCACTCGGACCATTTGGTCTGCGAGATTGCACGATTAAGCAGTATGTTACAGCAGTATGCCATAGCAGTATGTTATAGCAGTATGCCATAGCAGTATGCTTTAGAATACCAGTCAGACCATGTGGTCCGTGTGCACCATGCACACAGTATGCTATAGCATAGTGCATAATCAAACAATCCTGCAGGCCATGTGGTGCATGACTCACAGACTACATGGTCTGTGTGCACATGGCTCCATGCCACCTCTTGCACCAACTGGTCAGATATAAGCGACCCAGGTTAAACTAAGTCTCACTCATTCACTCACTCACTCACTCTGAGAGTCTACTCCTTGCACCATGTGACTTCCACTATCCTCCGCGCGGCGGCTGCACTTGCTGGGGCTGGCAACCACGTGCACCACCAGCACTGTCATCTCATATCATGTTCTATTCAACTCGTGTGTTAACTATTACTAATAAAGAGTCAGCAGCTTCATATGTATTACTCTGCCCCACCAGTATCAATGTAGGTCAATACATCTTAGTCAGTACTGACTAAAAATGAACAGTCAAATTCTGCACTCACCCTACTATATATGAGGTAAACAGAAGAAAACACAAAAAATTAACATTTCTACTAAACAAAAAATAAAATAAAAATTGGGGTAATATTTTCTAATAGTTCCGCTCAGCAGATCATGACAATTTTGGTATCGTTGGGTTTCTCTCACTCTCTATTTTCCAAATATATAAAAAATTGTTGGGTTGAAAACCAACAAAAACCCCCATTCTTAGTCCCAATAGTAGGGAGGGTATAAAGGAATCTGTAACTATATTGTCCTGTGTTCCTTGCAGTCACTCCATGGGGGCTGCTGCACCCCAACCCCCACCCAGAAAAATAAAGAATCCTCCATATATTCACAGTAGGAAGGAGCATATGACCGCCATGTGGGAGCGCCGTTGCTTAGTCTGTCTGACGCTCTCTCCTGCCATGAATACGTAGAATATTTTTTGTTTTCCTGGCTGGGTGTTGTGGGGCAGGAGCCCTCCACTAGGGGGTCATAGGGGGTACAGCCCCCTGCATTAGACAATATAGTCACTGATTCTTTGTAGATTATTATATATTACCCTGTCATCTCCCTGGTACCTTTCATGCCCTTCCCATGTTATCAGGACCAACCTTGTCACTGATGGGGGGCTGGGGGGTTTCCACGCGATGAGAGGATTCCAATGACACCAATATTGTCGCAATGAGTTTGGTGGAACTATTAGAAAAATTACCGAAATTAGTTCTCTTCTAAATAAATATTAGTCAATCATGTGGGTAATTCTTTAAAATACAGACACACTCACCTGAGACTAAGTCCCCCAACTCCATGTCACAAAATTTATTCAGCAATATAAGTTGCAATGACTGAGTGTGCCCTTTGGGCATTGCCCAAGGGGAGTTCTTATAGTTGTGATCCATTTGGTGGAACTATTAGAAAAAGTTGCATTTGTTTCAATTAAGTTTGCACAAAGTGCTAATAACGGGGGGTGCTGGGGGGGTTGCCCCCATCTACGGAATACATAGATGGCAGGAAAGGTTAGATTTGGGCTTTTGGGTTCGCATGATGCCCTGGTTTTTGGACTATCTCTGGCGGGTGCACCACTTGATATCCCATACCAGGATATAAAGTGAATCCAAACACACAACCTAACCTTTCCTACCCTCTATTTATTCCCTAGATGGGGGGAAGCAAGCCCCCTCTACCCCTCTCTATTAGCACTTCATACCAACTTACAGAAAACAGATATTAAGTACTCTGGTTGTGTGAGGGTGTTGAGGACTTGGTCTCTTGGTTTTCAGCGGACATTTTTGTCATTTACCGGTAAATATGTGGCCCCTGCAGCTTAAACTATGTTGTTTCGTATCAATATTTCTTACCCTCTCTAAGATGTTGGTGTCCATTTCCCTCTATCTCAGTGCATCGCCCTCGGTTACTTATACCAATAACCAATCCCACTCCATTCCATTAAAAATCATACTGATAATGAGTCATTATGATTTTACTTCAGGAAGATATGACATTTAAGGAAGAGCTTCAAGGAGTCAATCTCCCCTCATGGCTGACAATCATGAAGTCTTGAGAGGATTTATAATCGCATGGCCTCCACAAGTTGCTTAGAAACTGGGCCGCCACGCTGTTGATTTAGCCATGACAACCAGTTATGATGCCATTCATTACTGACAATAAAATAACGCGGAAAAGATTTGTTCAACAGACAATTTCATAAAAATGATGTATATATCATTCTCTCACATTATTTATTTCTCTTTTCATTACTCTAAAACTTAAATGCAAACCTTGTATCCCATACTATTGAATAATGCACAATATACTTACGTGAATCTATACCTATGTTGATTTTCCATTGCGGCGACTTTCCTCGGATTGAAATCAGAGCATCTGTCACTTTTGAGACTGGGACGGAGGTGAACGCCACGACCCCGGCAACTTTTCTAACGGGATCGCTAAACGATGTTGAAGATCTCAAAAGGATCGGAAAGTTAAAGGGAGAGATTTCGCAGGTACAGAATGACATTAATAGAGCATGTTTTACTACGATTTTGAGCCCCATACGCGAATTATGCAACATTATGCAATGGGGACCACACGTTGTTGCAGCTATGTTTTGTCTCAATAAACTTTATATTTGGAATTAATTCTGTGATAAATGTTTATATATAAAATATCTGAACTTTTACTCATTTGTTATTCACTATCTATAATCGAATTGCTAAACAGCTGAACACACAGGTTATGATCCTGTTCCTGTATTGTACTGTGCGATTAGTCGGAATACTATTGGCTGAAAAGAAAGAAAGAGAGAGAGGGAGAGAAATATACAGGTTATGATCCTGTTCCCGTACTGTACTTGCGATTTGTCGGAATATTATTGGCTGGAGAGAGAGAGAGAGAGAGAGAGAGAGAGAGAGAGAGAGAGAGAGAGAGAGAGAGAAGAGAGAGAGAGAGAGAGAGAGAGAGAGAGGAGAGAGAGAGAGAGAGAGAGAGAGAGAGAGAGAGAGAGAGAGAGAGAGAGAGAGAGAGAGAGAGAGAGAGAGAGAGAGAGAGAGAGAGAGAGAGAGAGAGAGAGAGAGAGAGAGAGAGAGAGAGAGAGAGGAGGAGAGGAGAGAGAGAAGAGAGAGAGAGAGAGAGAGAGAGAGAGAGAGAGAGAGAGAGAGGAGAAGAGAGAGAGAGAGAGAGAGAGGTTATGAACTGAGAAGAAGAGAGAGAGAGAGAGAGAGAGAGAGAGAGAGAGAGAGAGAGAGAGAGAGAGAGAGAGAGAGAGAGAGAGAGAGAGAGAGAGAGAGAGACAGGTTATGATCCTGTTCCTGTACTGTACTTGCGATTTGTCGGAATATTATTGGCTGAAGAGAGAGAGAGAGAGAGAGAGAGAGAGAGAGAGAGAGAGAGAGAGAGAGAGAGAGAGAGAGAGAAGAGAGAGAGAGAGCCTGTTCCTGCACTGTATTTGCAATTTGCCAGAATACTATTGGCAGAAGAGAGAGAGACCCTACTCCTGTACTGTACTAATATTAATCACGTTTGGCTTTGGCTTGTCAGTGCATATATGATTTTCTGTGGGCGGGGGATCAGATTTAAGCAGTTTGATGGTAATGCAGATAAATATGATTTGTGGGAAGTGCACTTCCTCGGTATTTTTTGTTATGGAACTACAACTCCCACTTAGTATGCTTCAGAATGCCCAGATTGTTATAATCGTGCCAAAATGGCAATCTACAGTTGTTTAATAGGTTTCCTTGACACAACGTCAAATGGCATCATAAAACGTAAAGGGAGAGGAGACGGTGTGAAAGCTTTGGCAGTACTACGAAAGCATTACATGAAGGAAACAAACCAGAGGTTGTATGCTTTATGGGTCATTCATCACCAAAAGGCTGGGGGATGGCAGTGTTATAGACTATCTCTCATCCAGAGGAGATAGCAGCCTCACTCAAGAGAATCAGGTGAGAGCGCAAGTGATTGTCTCTTAGTGGTAGTCACATTTGACGGACTTCCACAGGAATACAAGAGTTTGGTAGATGTAGCTAATCAACGCAATCCTCCAAATTATGTCTGATCTATTAGAATTAAAGATAAAATCTGTAGACTTAGGAGTTGACAACCTAGGTGCTATTGATCTTGCCAAAAACCCAGCAAATCACTAAAGATCAAAACACATTGATATTCGTTACCATTTCATTAGAGATGACGTAGGGAAGGGTAATGTTAACTTATTTTATTGTTCCTACACTTTAAAATCCAACTGATATTTTTACAAAACCTGTAAACCAGAAGGTGCAAGTTTTAATTATATCAGAGGATAGATTCTCAGATAACATATCTATCTTTAACCCTCCCAATACCTTGCTTGTTGTTGTCGTGGGAGGGCTTAGGACAGTGTAGGGCAAGGTCTATATAAGTACTTATATAGACCTTGGTGTAGGGGATCACCCCTATCTTGGGCCTCGGCCCTCGCCTCGACTAATTTTGGTCTTTTCTTCTCCCCTTTCCTCTTCCGTATCTTCTTCATCCCCTTCTTCTACCCCATTCCTAAGGTGTGAAAGCCGTGCTGAAAGGACGAAAATGAAAAATTGCTTCATTGTACCACAACTGAATATTATGGGCGCAGAAAAAAAATAATAGGCCTTATATACAGTGCCAAATACCTATTCCAAGTGTTGTCAGCAGAGCAATTGCGCTGTCGGTTGCAGTGTCGACCACATGAACAAAACCAGCTGTTTCACTTTCTTACATGCATAAGCAATAATACAATTATGATGGTAATGAATGGCTGACAACTGATGCTACATCACATGATAGAATTATGTTATAACTTAAGTGTCTTAAAACTAACTATTTTACTGCATTTATCTGTTACTTGATTAAATCCTTCATTCGCACCATGATATATCATTATTGTTAAGGTCATTATTCATATATTGGTGAAGTTGACCATTATCAACTTGTCTCTCAGCCCCCTGGAATTAATGGGTGTTTCTGGGAAGTGGGTCTTAGCAGTCATCCTCCCCTCAGAAACAAACTTACTGGCAACCTCTTATATAGATGGAAATGTTGGGGAGAGAGGTATAGCCCCTCTCAGCCAGCAGGCTGTGAAGCAGGCTGTGGGTCCAGTTGGATGGGTGACTGCTGGGGATGGGAACGGGAGTTGCCAACCCCACAATCGGACATTGTGGCCCATAGCTTGCTGCCCCCCTTTATATAGTGCTACGTCAGTGTGGGTGGCAGAGTTGGGGTCCATATGGAATAATTACCCGAGGTTTAACCACCTTTGCGGCAAGATGATCAATTACCCCTACGTTCAAGAGAACTAAAGTGGTTGGGAGTTGAGGTAGCTGCCCTCTCGGCCTCTCGGAGGTGAGAAGACGATCAGCATGGGTGGGTACACCTACTGGTCAGGCCGGGTTACCATCTCCAGGGAATAGCCATAGCCATCTCCAGTCGACTTCAACCCTCGAAAGTAGAGGTTTCTCCAGTTGAGTGTATTATGGCATTGAGACTGCAGCATGCTTTTGGCTTTGTCTTTTATTGCTGTGTATGCTCCTACCAATGTTTGCACACTTGATGGGTTAGTGCTCTATGCCAAACTCACATCTGTGACAGACAGATGACCACGGCAAGACATTCGCATTTTAGTGGGCGACTTCAGTGCGGTATTCGGCTGTGAATGAGCTGCCTATGAGAAGTCTGTCAGTCCCCATGACTCAGGAGCTGATCTCACTAGCAAGATCAGCTTCCTTTTCCGGTACTTTGCAAGGTCCCAAAGACTGAGGATTTCTGGCTCCTGATATCAGCGCTCTAACATGCATCATTGAACTTGGTGTAGCGATATGGGTAAGGTGGATAAGGAGATCGACCATAGTTTATGGTAGCATTCACTTGAAGATCCTTCAGAACTGCAGTGTTTACCGGAGTGGCAGGTTCTGTGGCACCGACCTTAGCGTAATTGTGGCAACTCTACGGTTCCACTTCAAAAACCCAGTATCTCTCCAGTGGCTACTGCAGGGGGTTTCAATTGGACAGACAGGGAGAAGTGTGCATGGAGGTTCACCACGACAGTCTGATTGGTTCTATGGGATTCCTTTATGAAACACTCGATTCAGTACCAGACCATCGATGAACACTTATCAGGCTAAATTTCATGGAGACACGAGGCTATAGATGTATGTCATATGGTTTGACTGTCAATCGGGATTTGCGCTGGATATGCGCTGTTCCTTGGATAGGGCTCAGATACTACTGAGAAGGGACAAGGAACAATTCATCAGGAATCTTGCTGAGGAGCTTGAAGGTCATTTCCTAGGAAATGGCCTTTGTCCTGCCTACCAAGCACTGAGAAATCTCAACTTCAAACCCTCTTCGCATATGACATCCGTTCAGTGGATGGACGGATCATTTCAGATCATGGGGTTCGTGAGCATTGGGCTGAGTATTTTCAGCAACTGTAGCAGGTAGACCCTTCAGTAATTAGTCTGGACACAAGCGGTGATGTAGTCCCTGTGACGGACCCACCCACAAGCTGGGAACCTACCCTGACTGAGGCTAGGGGGGCAATCTCTAAGCTGAAGGGTGGGAACACTGCAAGCTGAACTGTTAAAGGCTGGGCATGAAGCTATGGCATGGGGTTTGTACACTGTCCAGGCTGCCATCTGGCAGCCTGGTTCCATTTCCCCTGACCTGTCTAAGGGCATGATCATCCCTCTCTGGAAGGGCAAAAGGTATCATCTGAACAGTATCAACTACTGTGGCATCACACAGCTCAGTAAGCCAGGCAAGATTTTCGCCAACATTCTTCTGAAACAGATCCATGACCACCAACTAAAGGGGCTGTCACACTAGCCCTTTTCCCTCAATTTTCTGATTTTTTTTCCCAATTTTTGAGCGAATTGTCGATTTTTCAGTCTGAAAACCTTTCCGTCAACTTTTTCAGCCAAGCATAGTCAAAGAGTTATATTCGAGAATGTTTCTATATATGTTAAATAAAGTAAAAAAAAAAAAAAAAAAAATGCGTGTGACAGCGCCTTAAGGCACCAAAGATTCACTCCTGGCAAACACACATTAGAGTGTATTCTAGCACTTTGAGTCTTTGAAGAAGGCCGTCTAGTTCGGCCGAGGGTTGCTTGCACCCTACATCGACTTCAAGAAGGCGTTTGTCTTAGTGCATCGTGAATTGCTATGGGAGATTTTGAGACAAGAATTCTGACAGGGATTATCAGTCTAATAACAAGCCTATATACTGGTACTGAAAGTGCTGTAAAATGTGGTGGAAGACTGTCGAGCTTCTTTCCTGTTAATATGGGAGTGAGGCAAAGCTGTGTCCACCAGTACTTTTTAACACGTCTTTACAATCTCTGGTAACAGCTTTTGATGCATTCAGCAATGAGGCAAAGCCTCTGGGTTTAGAAGTCTCTTAGACCAAGATCAAAACCCAGTATTTTGGGTAACTATTAGGAGAACCTATTCAGTCAATACATGCTTGGGGTGAGGATGTTGAAGTCACAGCGAACTTTACATACCTTGGTATTGCAGTCCATATCTCTGGGCTGTCAGACCAGGAAGTCATTTGACGGATTGGTCTGGCAGCAGGAGCTATGAACTCAGTCAACAAAAGCATTTGGAGGTGTTGGTACCTATGTAGAAGGACTTAGTTACGCCTTGATACTGCCAATTTTGCTCTATGGAAGCAATGCCTGGGTGCTATATAGTACTTTGGAGTCACATCTTG